GTGGTTTTTTCAGCCATATATAATTTTTTAGGGAAAATGACAAACATGCCGTATTAAGTTTCTAGGGTTTAGCGATTTATCCACTTAACTTATTTTGTGGCTTTATGAGGGAACGAATTATTTGTAACCTAGCAATTACCCTTTCACATATTGTAGTCGGCTTTCCATTGCCACATAAGCATAACCTAACACATAAGCAATGACATGGAAATAATTCAATGCGTCCTCACAACCCAAACAATGTCGTCTTGTATGTGAATTGTAGGGAGCACGCTTGGATTGTTCAAACCGCCTCAGTATAAATTGAAGACTTTGTTGCCCTAAAATGGCACATTTGGAAACTTGCTTACCCTAATCTCGTATTTAACTTCACTCTGCAATAGTAAAATGCATTCGCGAGCATCTACAGAACACAGTTGGTCTCCAAACTACTGCTATCATATAGCGGAAAATCATTCCAATGGTGTAACCAACGAAGAAATGGCCGTCAATCTATTGCAAACCCAACCAGAATTGTCGCTCATACGGGAGGACTTCCAAGACCAATTGGATGACCTCTGACAGGGTGTTAATCATGACTTGGATGCCATGAACCATAAGGTTGATGAGGTTTGCGCTGGTCATCTAGATATCTCTAATATCCTTGTTGATCTTAAGAATTATTTCTTTTTTCTGCAAGGTTCGTATGTAAAGATGGTCGTGGAGCACACCAAACGTAAGAAAGTGAAGTATTTTGTTAAGATTGTTGGTGTTTCTTTCGTGGGTGTGTTCACGCACATGTTCTTCAAGTAACAAAAGAAATGTAGTTCAAATCATTTTTGTCCTAGGTTTGTGTTTTGGTGTGTTATTTAAGTTGTTTATTGTCGATCTTGGTAATAGATTTTGTGTCTGGTGGTGCTTGTTGCTGGTGTTGGTAATAGTTTGTGGTGCCAATGCATATAGTTGGTGGTGGTGGTGATTGGGCTGGTGATGGTCATCCTTTTTTGATGAAGTTTTTGTCAATGATCTTTGTAATAGGTTATGGAATAGTAAAAAATGATGTAAACAAACCCATGGCTGAAATGTTGGTTTATATATTATTAAATTTTTTTTGTCTTACACCTATGTTCGTGGCTGTGCATGAACGAATGAAACATTTGGGGATTAGATATGTTTAGGTATATTAATCCCAGTCATGTAGATCTCCATCGTTGGTATGGGACCACAAGCCAAAGCAAAGTCAATGTATTTTTTATGTAGATATACATGGATCACAAATGGTGCCGTTGGGGAAAAGGGACAAAAACAAACACAAATTTTAGACACGAATCACAATGTTCCTTGTCTGCGACCCTTTTTTGAAAAAAAAAACTTTTCTTAAAGTTAAATTTTTCTTTTTTCCTTAGCAATGCACTTTTTCTTGTTTGATTGTCATTGAATTAAGTGCCAGATAACCTGTTATAGGAATAGCTTAATGGATTAAGTCACAGCTAACCTGTTGTAGAAATTGACTTAATTACCCCCCACATCCAAAAAATTTAGTAATGACACAAGTAGCCCCTAAATGGTGACTTAATTTATATGACGAACATACCCATACTTGATTACATATTGTAAATGGCTAAACCACCCAAAATGACCAAAATACCCATATAGTTTTGATTGATGGGAATGACTTAAATACCCCTGAAATCCTAACTCCTTTACAGTGGGTATAATTCTTGTATTTCTTAGTTAATCCACATGAGTAAAATAGGAATTCCATAATAACTTAATGTAAATGACCAAAATACCCCTATAGTTTTGTTATTTGGAAATGAGTAAAATACACCAGAGTTTCTTACATACTGTAAATGGCCAAACTTAATATAAATGACCAAAATTCCCCTACAGATTTGTGTTATGGAAAATACTAAAATGCTTCTAACATCCTTACTTATGTACAGTGGCTATAATTCTCTTACTTTCTTAGTTAATCCACATGACTAAAATACCAATACCTATCTAACTAATCTAAAATAGCATATAATAACTTTCTATACCATAAAACAATATAACATACATCATTTCATTTATTGCAACATGCAGGAATGATGAACACCACATTAATCCTTGTTCTCATACACAGTCATACGATTAAATAGCACACATACAATACAAATATTAAAAAATTATCAAATTCAAATCCATGGCCATTGGAGGACTACTACCATCACCGCTCCCTTTTTTAGAAAGCTTCATTTTAATGATTCTCTCCAACTTCTTCCTTTTGTTAGGTGGTCTTACATGGTGAGCTTAACGAACACGAGCGTTGACCCTGACCCTTTCCCCATGTCTATTGACTCCCACCACTTGATCATCTGGACCAGTCATCTCCAATGCATCCCCTGCATTAACCATTACCTCATCACGCGACCCCCTTTTGTAAGGTTCACAAACTCCTATGTAGGTATAATATTTTGTTTCTTTGTCCCATATTTTTTGGATGGACCTGTAACTTGACTGCAAATGACGTTTATCTTTTCATATGCTACAAGAAACCTTCTTCCTTACCTTTCAAATGGTGTGTTTTCCCAACCATTCAGAAGCATCCCTTCTTCTCTTTATGGTCGGCCTGCTTGACATTCGTCTTTTCAATGGAGGCAAAGGAGGTGTGAAGTCTGTAAAATGCCACTTGTTTTTTACATTCATCCCATGGATTGGTTGTTTGTAAGTATTATGGAAGAATGCTGCCAATTATAGTGGATCTATGGCCCATTAGGTGTGATATTTAAATAGGATAAGGTGGCAACTGAATGTACTCAACCATACCTATTAAGTTGCCATAGCCAGCAACTGCATTCCTTTTTTTTCAACATGAACAATATATGCCTCATCCTTTTTTCTTGATTCAAAATTCATACCCCCACAAGATACGACCTGCCAATGCCTACATAGTTGAAAAACCAAAATATTAAGAGATGTGACAAGTAAGGTATGGATGTTATTGGATAAGTGTACAAACCTTTGCTCAGTTTTGAGAATATTCAAACTTGTTCTAATATTTGGACAAACAGAATAACGATTCCATCATTGTCTGGTTAGTTTCATACTCACCATCCTTTGCATCACACACACATACACACACACACACACTCTCACACACACATGTATATATATATATATATATATATATATATCTACATAGTTGAAAAACCAAAATATTAAGAGATGTGACAAGTAAGGTATGGACGTTACTGGATAAGTGTACTATTCAAACTTGTTCTAATATTTGGACAAACAGAATAATGATTCCATCCTCGTCTGGTTAGTTTCATACTCACCATCCTTTTCATCACACACACACACACACACATATATATATATATATATATATATATATATATATATATATATATATATATGTGTGTGTGTGTGTGTGTGTGTGTGTGTGTGAATTCCTCTAACATGCTTATGTTAGGTTTCTTCCGGGCATCTAAAATCACACTATTAAAGTTCTCTGAAAAACCATTCTCCACTGACTCACAAGATAAATTATGAACTCTGAAAAAAGCTAAAGACCAAGTCTTTTGATCTCTATCCATATGGTGCACAACTGCATCTGTATTCAACATTTCAATATATTATATAACTCCATTAAAATGTGATTTAGTTTTTGGCTTGCTTGCTTTCCCAAACAAAATTTCAAACTTGGCTCCACTAAATCTCTTTCTAAAATTAGTATAGATATATCTAGCACACTGCCTATGTTTAGCCATTAGGAATACTTCTTTCACTGCCTCATCCAAAACCTACATATGTCACATAAAGGATTGAACTTAGAATTGCAATTAATAATTTTAGAACATGAAATATTTATGTACCATACCTTTTGTTGATCCGAAATTAGAATCAAACATTGTCCTTCATTCCAACATTGCTAATCATCTAAAAGAGTTTCTATAAACCATTTCCAATTGTCCTTGTGTTCCACACAAACAGCCACCCAATCAATTGGGAATATTCCATTGTTAGCATCCCTACCAACAACACAAAGCAACTCCCCTTGGCAAAAACCTTTCAGGAAACTACCATCCATGTTAATGATCCTCCTACATCCTCCCCTTCATCCCTCTTTTACTAAAGCAAAACATATATACATTTTGCTAAAATAATTCTTACCATCAGGCATTACATCAACATAAATTTTAACTGTAGATCTAGGATTTGATCTTTTAATCTCCACACCATATGACCATATTTTTGCACAATTTTATGCTACAGTGCCTTCAGCTGGAGTCAATGCATACTTAGTGGCTCTCTTACAATGACTCATACTCACATCAATGACAAAAGTGGTTTTTACCCCCTCACTATGCAATCGTACACTCATATTTTGATTGTTATAAAATTGTTGCTTAAAGTGGACCCCTATCCATTTTAAGTCATAATTGATCCGAATTTGAAATTCTTTGCACAATTATGCTCACCAATAAGAGACTTGATCAAGAAAGACTTATCATCACTCATCCAAGAACCTCAAACCCTAAATGTATATTTTACATCACAACATTTGGAAAGCACTCGTCTACTTTCATTATTAAAAAACATAATTGATAACCATTCGTGACAACATAGTTACAAAGCATGTGTTTCAATTGTTTAGGATTCCCAAACCTCATACCTAACACATGTTCCTGCTCCTTCCATTTGACCTTATCACTGAAAAGATTTGGCAACTCGGGATAAACATTTTCATTATCACCCATGTCTTCTTCCAAAGGCTCACCTACACCTACATTCTCACCCATGTCTAACTAAAGCCCATTATTCTTTTTAAAAAAATAAGGTTCCTCATGGTCATCCTCGTCATCATCGGCATCCTCATTCTCATCTTCATCCTCGTCTCCATTGTCTTCCTTTTCATTAACCTCATCCCTATCCTGATGCCCTATTGCACCTTCCATAATCAGTCCCGTACCATCAAGTACCTCTTCCTCTATTTTACCAACAACCTCGTCTTTGTGTTCATCCAACCATTCCTACATGTTACTATTCCCAAAATGGTCTACATGCATAGGGAGTATAACACCACATTCATATGCAATTGCTATAAAGTCAAAATAATTTGGGTCATTGCTGATTAAAGTCAAACCTTTTGGAAAATCAACATTAGGTTGGCCGTAATAGAGATTCTCACACTTTACTCCAATGAAACTTTCGATGAACGCATAGCACCTGTCCTTATCCATGACTATGAAATCGATGTCCAAAAATCTGAGTAATTCCGCCAGTGTAGCATATGGGGTATTTGGCGAAGATTCCTTGGAAGTGCACTTGTACTTATAAGAATAAAAGTTCCATGTTTGAGGTTTCAGAAGCAGAAAAACAACAAAGGGTTTATCGATGAAGTGATGAACAGTAGAGGTCAAAAGAGCTCTTTTATAAAGCATATACTGACAGTAAGAAGGAAGCGACTAATTAATGACATTGCATTACACTGAAGACACAATCAACATCCTATGTGGTGTTACTACGGGGAGATGGACTAAAAATGATAGGCTAACCCCTTCACAAATGAAATAAGGACTTAATCGACCCAACAAAGTGTAAATCGTTCCCTTATAATGCCACAAAATAAGTTATATGAAAAAATAGGTCAACCTTAGAAACATAATAGGGCATATATATATATATATATATATATATATATATATATATATATATATATATATATATATATGTCATTTTCTCATTGTTTTTATAACCTAGAAAACTCATCAGATTTTGATTTAGATCCAAATCTGAAAAGTAGATCTTTATATGTAGCTATTGGTTGAATCTAATGATATTCCTATAATATAAAGTCCTAAACTACATGGAATCTAACCATAATGGATTAGTATGGAGTTTGATGGGCATTTAGGGGATTGGAAGGTTTATCCATGGCAGGATCTTAACTATTTTAATTGAATGATTTTCATGATTGAATTAACTTTGTTTCAATGATTTTTAAAACAAATATCAAGTTAGCACGATGAACTTAACTACTTGGACACAAATTGAGTATACGCTTGTTTTAGGGCTTCAATGGCAAATTATGAGATTATGAAATTCCAATGTTTTGATTAAAGTTAGTTGAAAATCATACAGATGGTTGGTTTGGTTGAGAAATTAGTTGATGTAAATGATTTTGAAAGATAATTGAAAACTAATTTTGTAAAACAAGTTTTGAGTTACATCAACTCTAAGATCCTCCATTTCAATCAATGAAATCAATGGAATTAAGCACTCAAAGTCTTATTAGGATTATTATAGGTTTATTAAGAGTTTATTAACTGATTAAAATGATTAGTGGTGAGGTTAGAAAACATTACAAACGTATGGAGAAAAGTTGATGTTGAGGATGTCTACATGAGCTTCCATATAGCTCTTATGATGTCCAAAACATCATTTGATCTATGGTTATTACCCAACCTATTGGCCATTAACAGAAAGTGTAGTTTATGAATGAAATAAGGGATATGTTGTCTTATATTTTATCTTAAAAAAATATTATTTTCATAAAATAAGATTTTTTTTTTGTTTTATTATAATAATTTTTTATGTAGGAGAGAGAGAGAGAGAGAGAGTAATAAAACCAAAATGAAGCAATCCAAAAGAAAAAAAGGATGATATCAAGTACTCTATATATGGATTACTATATACTTTTAAGGTAAAATAGGTTCAACTTACTATTAAAATTCATAATAACGGTGCCAACGTTTGTCATCATCTGAATTTATATATCTAGATATGAGAGAGGTTTCCTAAAATATCTTCTTAGTATGCAATACATACTAAATACTTGATCCCAAAGGTCCTATGGTGGCAATGACATAACAAATTTAACTAGGAGACATATGTTTCCTTTGCATCTTCATACGAAGTACTTTCCATTTTGACTTTAATTATAAGTTAATATTTTATACGAAATCAATTAACTGTTATTGTCTTCACTTATTAAGATGTGACCAAGAATCCATAATAGTAACTTGCCCTAGATAAAGTTGAGTTATTTGTTTCATGATATATACACTAGTACAAAAATGATCTAAAGACACACCATAAAAGTGTGATCATATGCGTAACATTTTGTTTTTTCATTAAAAGTGTGACGGAAGGTGATGACATCGTTTGAATCTTATGGTCACTTTAAAATTTAGTGTCCGTATAATATCAAAAAATGTGGCTGTATTATAAAAGTGTGGCTACTGGGTAGAGAATTTTGTTGTTATAATCAGTCATTTTATCCAATATCGTGGTGTTAAACCATTAGTAGACACACTTATTTAATAATTGTACTGACTGTATAACACCAACTTGAGACATGCATGTTGTTTTCAGTGTGGCGTTATACTAATAAATTGTCACACACTTTTAAGTTTATTAAGACTTTTGAGTATCTTTTGCAGACATGCAATTACGGTGAACATGACCATGTTTACTAAATGGCCACATGTAATTAATTTCATATGTAGCGATTCACTAATATTTAGTTACAAAAACACTCTTTTATTGTGATTATTTTCTATCATACAGAAACACCAATACGTAAAACATGGTCATAAGTATTATAAAAGAAACATTTTACTAAAATTATGGATTCACTAGTACCAAAATCAGACATTGATCACACCACAAAAATGTCATTGTAATCAAGTATTATATCGAATAATTGTGGCCATAAATGATTTGTAGACATAAAAATGTTTCTTATTGCAACTATTACTCATCTAATGGTCATATGAATTTTTTATTATGTCGTAATAGGTATTATTTAGTCACAAAAAAAGTTATTTATTGAGCTTTTAGTCGCATTCTTTTAAGAAAACTATGACATAAATGTTGTAATATACCATTATGTCACTTAGACACAAATGCTTTGTAGACACAAATCCTCACCCAATGTGCTAATTTCATTTTCCGTCACAACACCTACAAATAAAACTATCAGCGATATTTTTAATTTTTTGAGTTTTTATTGTTTTTGGATTTTTTGGAATTTTTTTTATTGTTTTTGGATTTTTGATTATTTCTCCTCCTAAATTTGTGCATGGGTGAGAATAGAATAAAATAAAAAATTAAAGGAAAATAAAATGCGCAAATTTAATCTATCCTAAGAAATTAAAAATAAAATAAAAGATAAAACTAATAAATAAATAAAATTAAAAAAAGAAAATAAAAAATAAAAATAAAATAGGAATAAAGAAATAAAATTGAAGAATGAAGAAAAATAAATAAAACTTAATCCTCAAAACGAATCATTTTCAGAAAACCCACAAGCACATCGAAGCGAGCTTTCTTAAATGACTTTGTAAACAAATCCACCACATTATTATCAGTGTGGACCCGTTCCGGTTGGATTAGTGAACGTTCATAACAGTCTCTGACAAAATGAATCTTAATGTCGATGTGCCTGGTTTTAGAATGTTGGACTAGGTTTTTGGCAATTTGAATAGCAGATTCATTATCACAATAAATGGGGTTTCTAAAAAATTTAAACCGCAGTCCAACAGTTGATGTTGTATCCAGATAACTTGAGAGCAGCAGGATGACGCATCAACGTATTCCGCCTCCGCTGTGGAAGTTGAGACAGTGTGTTTCTTCTTGCATTGCCACGAACTAGTCTGTCACCTAGGTACTGACATCCTCAAGAGGTTGATTTCCTGTCAAGCTGACAGCCTCCATAATTACTGTCAGCAAAAGCATAAAGATCAAATTCAAAATTCTTCAGATACCAAAGACCCAATTTTAGGCTCCCTTTGATATACCGAAAAATTCTTTTGACAACAATAAGATGTGAAAGGTTAGGATTAGCCTGATAACGTGCGCATTGACAAACTAAGAAAATGATGTCAGGTCGGCTTCTAATAAGATACATAAACGATCCGATCATTGATCGATAGTGAGTCTGATCTACGGATTCGCCTTCAGGATCTGGAGTCAAAAGAGGTCGTTCAGCCATTCGTGTTGAAGCAAATTTAGCATCGTGAAACCCGAATTTCTCAAGACTAGCCGCCACATACTTGGCTTGATGTAGTAGGATTCCGATCGAATTCTGTTTAACCTGAAGCCCCAAAAACATGGTCATTTCTCCAAATGAACTCATTTCGAACCGTTTCTTCATTACACCTTTGAATTCTTTGCAGAGCTGCGGACTGGTCGACCCAAAGATGATGTCGTCAACATAGATTTGCACTAGAATTTGATCATTGCCGACATGCTTGACAAACAGTGTCTGATCGATGGTTCCACGAGAATAGCCATGCTCGAGCAAATGCTTTGTTAGAGTTGCGTAACATGCTCGAGGAGCCTGATGTAACCCATACAGTGCCTTGTCCAACTTGTAGAGATGATTAGGAAATTTTGAGTTAACGAACCCAGGAGGTTGATCAACGTATATTTCTTCCTTCACCTTTCCATACAATAAGGCAGTCTTGACGTCCATTTGATACACTGTAAAGTTCATGTAAGAAGTATATGCTAGAAAGATATGAATAGCTTCCAAGCGAGCTACTGGAGCATAAACTTCTGTGTAATCAAGACCTTCGACTTGCCGAAACCCGCGAACCACTAGTCGAGCTTTGTTTCGCACAATAACCCCTGAATTGTCCTACTTATTGCGATAAACCCATCTTGTGTCAAGAGACTTCTTGCCCTTAGGTAAATCAACTAATTTCCAAACACCGAGTTTTTCAAATTGATGCAGTTCCTCATGCATTGCATCTACCCAACTGGGCTCATTCAGATCCATTTTAACATTTTTGGGCTCTATTTGAGAGATAAAGCAAGAGTAGAGATAGATATTAACATCTCCAATCTGAATTCTCGTTTTAACACCATCGCCCAGCTCACCAATGATGTTATCGATCGGATGATCGCGTTGAATTCTTGAAGGTATCTCTTGACTGATATCATTGAGAGAGACAGGAAGAGCGTGAATGTTGATACCTTCTTCATTTGCTGATTGAGTCACTCTAGAAGGCTCTGCCATAAACTCATTTGAGATAGATTCAGGAAAGAGTAGTTCCATAAAGGTTGAGGTAGTTGCAGAAGCGTCATTTGGCATGAACTCTCTCTCCATATGTGTAGATGGTGTAGCTTCAGCATCAGGAGTATCACTTTGGACTAAAGAATTAGGACTATCATGTTGCATAGATGACTACCCCTCTGGTGTAGCAGAGAATTCCCCCTCTGGTGTGGCGAAAGACTCCCCCTCCGGTGTAGCGGAAGACTCCCCCTCAGGCGTAACGGAGGACTCCCCCTCTGAAAATAACTTTTTAGATGGGAACGGGGACTTCCCTTTGAATGATGAAGAGGATGCAGATGGAGCTGTGTAGATAACTTCTTCGTCTTCGTCTTCGTCTTCATAAATCTTTTTCCAACCAGAAACAGATCCAGATGAACCACT